ACTGCAATAATCGAGAACCCTTCGATTCTCGTGCCAAGGCCCCGCCGGCTGAGAGGAGCGAAAAGGGCTATGGGGACGAGAATGCTAGGCAAGTTGAATGACAGATGGAAACGAGTGCTAAACGGCATCACTGTGTCGCACGTGGAGAGCATTGACTGGGAAATCAAGGGCGCTAAATGTGGTAAGTTGTCGTCGTATTCCCTGTTCTACTTTCCGAGAATGCTTAAGTGTGTAAGGCTGGCTATAGACTACAGAGGTACCTTTTTAGAGTCATTGATAAGAACGGCTTGGTGGTGCGCCAATCACATTACATTAGCAGGGTGGACTCGTGCGAAAGAGAAATGTCCCTCAGTGACGATTCGTCCATTGTACGGGAAGTCTGAAGAGAGTTGTGTTTATTTTTATTTTTCTAAGCGTGGTTAATCAGTTGAACTCGGGATGAAACACAGCTTTTCTTACCATAATGGTATCCGGTCACTTCGTTCCGTTGTGAGATCACTTCAAGCACAGGCGCCAAGCTCAAGCTGAGAGCGAATACCAAAGCTTACAAATTCCAGATAATTCCACCACGAATTGTTCTCAGTCTGCTTCAAATTCTGATGAGAACCCTGTAAACCTATCACTACGGTAACTTCTGTTTCAACGTGAAACTTCAATGCAGGGCATGTAGCTGAAAAAAAATCAAAGCTTATAGTTGGTATTCAGAAGTTGCATCGGTCTGTGTAAAATGCGGACTGCAGACCGGGGGTAAAATGCAGACTGAGGGTAAAATGGAGACTGCAGACTGCAGACTGCAGACTGCAGACCAGGGGTAAAATGCAGACTGAGGGTAAAATAAAATATTAATAATAAAAAACACAATGATCAAATTCGGATCAAATAAAGACGCGTACCCGTAATTTTCTTTTTCCAAAATCCTGAAAACTCAAACCAAAAGATATTTCCTAGCCTTAGTCAAACATTATATTACCAACCTCAACTTCTTGAACCCCCCATTTTTTTCAACCAAGTTCCCACAAGGGCCTGAACTAATTGTAATTCTATTGCATCTTGCCTTTGTTTACGTCTCGGCCATTTTGAATTTTGTTTACGCTATTAGGTCTGGGACCGACCAACTCTTGTAGCGCAATTCCTTCATCCTGTTTTCATCAACAAAGAATAACGTTCAAACCACCGCGGGTCTTAGTTGCTTCAAATGGCCTTAGAATTGTTCGGAACACAAGGCAAGCAAAACACAACAGCACAACAACAGGGCAAGCTAAACTTGTAGGCATTGAGCCTAGTTTGTGGAAGACATTCAATCTCTGTTTATGACTTAATAAATC